TGTCTTTATAGACAAGCGTACCTGTCGACCTCAAGTGAAGTATTAAAGTTGAAGGTGTAAGACAGGCCGCGTCCGTCAAACTCTTCCAGCAAATGAGGAATGAAGGAGGCTGGGTTGTAGGTCATGTTTCGTGGATGGAATGGCCGAAGCTCCACAGTGCCATTTGCAGCGATCAGCGTTATCACCCATCCAATCCAGTCCACTCCTCTTTCCACGGTCATGTTCAAGTTATTGCTGTACCAATTTTGTATCTCTAGCAAGTCATGGGAGGTGTAATAAAATACCATACTGCTGACACCTGTTATTAACAAAGAAAAGACTGAAGTAAACGGTCTGCCTTGCCAAGCTTTGTCATTAGCCAATCAGAGTTAGAGGCTATCATGACGTGCCCTCATGCGTTCTGGTTAATTCTGTTTATCTTCCTCCTCTTAAGCAGTCTGTTTTTTTCCGCTAAATAAATCTCTTCGGTTTTGATTAGGAGCCGTAACATGGGCTCCTGCTCAAGTTAAGTTTAACGACACAATCAACTGACAACTGTACAACCCTTATGATATTCCACAGGCTCTACCTTCTGTACTTTTGTATAGGATATCTCAAACTGACAACTATATACAATTTACGATTTAGACTACTGCGCCTCCGTTTCAATTTCGTAAACAAGATACGATTTCATACGAGATGTGCGCTAGTGTTTAAATGCAGAACAGTCATTTCCCCATCAACGCAAGTCTACAAGAAAAACGTGACATAAAACAGAACCTGGGCGGCAGTAAGGCTCTAAAAAGTGATTAAATAAATGATGACGCAAGGATCGGCGCTTTGCAGTGCATCTCTCTTAAGAGCATAGAGGTAAGAGGCGATTATCTTGTAGTCTTCAGTGGATTCTTTTTACCTGTAGGCTCGGCTGGAGTGTGATTCCAATGGGCCAAATTCAACGGTATCCCATTTGGATCTATGACGTAGCAGTGACGTTCAAACCAGGTCTCAGTTTTAATTGGCATTGCCAATGGATAACCTGCCTGTGTAAACGCCGCGCACGCAGCATCCACATCTCCCAGATTGTAAGTAAGGAACATGCCTTTGCCAGCGAAATTTTTGGCCAGCTGCGGTCTAGCGCATGCGTGTTCTGCACCCTCCACGACAAAGTCAAGATAAGCCACACCTGTAATGAAAGAAGACCGGCAAATGAGTGGATCGCACACGATCGATCTGTAGGGCGTGCAGCAAAACCAAAAAACGAAAATTTAACTCTTCATTATCATTATTTAAAATCGACCATTGAAAAAAGGTGTCATCATTAAAATGCTGGTTCTAGGGCCAAAGGTACGTTTTATGTGGTTTTTATAACCATTCTGCTGTGTGTATGCCTTAGTTTCGCTTGATACTGATGGTGAAATTCTGCTTAGAGTAAGTCGGGCCGATCAAACGTGCAAGTATTGAGCAAAATCTTTCTGTTTTTTGAAACACGAATAAGTAGATATTTTCTTAACGAGCTGCAATTATTTAACACGACAATTTCTCATCTGTGTTTCCTCTGTTTGTAATGTTGTGACCTTGGCCTTTATTACAGCCAGTCTGATAAAAACTTTAGCTAAGCACTGCAAGTGGTATTAAAAAGTAGAGATTTTTTCACTACCTGGTCCAGGCGAAAAGGAGATAAATCCTGGGGTTTCCTTCACCACTTGAAATTTCAAGAACTTGGTGTAAAACTGTTTGGTTTCATTCAGCTTGCTAGTGCTCACTGTGATGTCAACATTCACAAGCCCTGAAAAAATAAAAAGCCGTTTCTCGTTTACCTATAAGACAGACACCTTTTAGACCTGCACAAGGCCAACACGTCCGGAAGTTAACTTTTTTTTCTGTAGGAGGGAGAATCTACGATTGTATCTACTCCCCCCTCACCCCTCCACGGATGAGAAGTTAGTCCATTAAAGGGTTTTCCTCAGCAGTACGTTGCCGGTAACCAAGTACCCCTGGGTGAAGAGAGAAAAAATGGAACAAAGTCTCTGATGAAAGACTGAAAGTGACAAACGCGAAGCGAAGACTTAAACCCAGACTACACTGTAAATTAAAAATATCTGTTTCAGCCCCAAAGTGCCAATTCAACCCCTTCTGGAGCTATTTGAGCACAATTTAGGCCAAAACAGCTCAATCACAAGGCTTTTCCAGCCCACGCCGGGGTCCAAATCAGCCCTGGATAATTGGACTTTATTGGCCCTGATTTAAGGGAGCCAAATTAGACACAAAAATAGGACTGTATTTTACTCACCAAAACAACCCCATTTTGAGGGCTAAAACAGATCTTTCTGATTTACAGCGGTACTCCATATCCGGCGCTAAGTGCCTTTAATGTAAGGTTGAATCCGCGAGCAAGTGAGCAAGATGAAACTAATCCTGTGTTCTGATTGGCGGTATTGGCGGATTGGGCCACATATGCATTACTGACCAAGGCTCTCAGGAGGTCAAGATGGCTGGATATAGTTCTTTTTTGAGTGTTCTGGATTGAGAAGAAGTCGAGGTCAATGAAAACGTGAGGTCAATATCCAGCCATCTTGAAGGAACAAGCTTGGTCAATAAGGATTTATTATTATTATGGCAAAAAAGGAAACTTTTTGCGCCCGTTTCAGGATCAGCGGGAGAAATTCCCAGCTTGTTCCACGCTCTAAGTTTAAATGTGTGTCGGCAGAGAAATAACAATCTCTATATATGGCAGCATATCAACTAGAAAACCTCAACCTCGTCCCCAGGGCTTTTCCCTTAAAAACTGGGATGGGCGCCCCACCCATTTTTTAAGGGAAAAGCCCTGGGGACGAGGTTGAGGTTTTCTAGTTGATATGCTGCCATATATAGAGATTGTTATTTCTCTGCCGACACACAGAATTGAAAGAAAAACGGCCTTTAGCTTTGTTTATGTATTTCCTGAATGCTAGAATAGAACGGTTATACTCACTGACATATTACCCCCCTCCCCGTTCCCCGATCATAATGAAATAATATAATCATAACCTTGATATGGGCACTTGTCAGAAGCCAGATGGTGTACTTGGTGATAAAAACTTCTAAAACACGTGGTCCACGTCACCACCTGTCATTCAAACCAACCCAACATGTCCACAATAGCCAAACACACTGTGGTCTAAGTTGATTTCTCGCTCTCTCTCCGCTCGGAATACACTGTAAATAGCGGTGTGGGTTCTTAACTGACTCTTTGTTTTAGATAAATTACGTTTGGCATATAATGACTATAATAAACCCTTAGGTTATCCGTGCAACATGCCGTGGCGTGTATTGCTTCAGGGGCACCCAACGAGAATATAGTTCAAAACTACATAAAAATAGCATTGTTAAACGTATTTTAGTATTTAAACGGTAGATATTAGCATATTTTTATCCCCTAAAAATTTTTCATCTGTTCGGATTTCCTAGCTGAAAGTCTAGTGATCCGAACTGAAATTCTAGGTGATCTTTTTAGGGTAAAAATGGGCAATTATACCAGTTTTTAGATGTTCGAAAATCGTAGGAGAGGCAGGCTAGCAAGAAATTTTACAACAAATGTTCCGAACATTCTAGATCTCAGATTGTCTTCCGAACAGATATTTTTCCGAAAATCGACGTTGGGTACCCCTGTTGCTTATCATTTACCGACTCGAATTTAGCTAGTTGGGTGACTTTACCTTCTTTTAATTATTTATTACTAATTGGACTAAGCATGTTTCTTTTGGGGGTACTACGATTTATACATATTTAACAAATTAAGTCATACAAAAAGACCTAAACTTAGTGTTATTGATGCTTTACGGATGAACAAATGGAACAAGTGCAATTATGAAGTGCCATCGTGACATTTCTGGAAGCGTATTTCAAATAAGCAGAGAAAGCAACTTGAATTACATTTATAGAAGCTCGGTCGACCAAAACTTTCTTCAATCTATACAACATTTGAACCTGATCAAATAAATACTTTTGATTTACAGTTACTGCACAACCTCCAGCAAATCCTGATACATTTCGCTACCCGTTTTTAACATCAATCATTCAAGTCATGAGCCAAACACTGATGAGTATTAACTTATTAACGAATTGAGCCACCAGCAATCTACCCTGCGAGCAGAGTCTCCTTCGATAGGAAGATCGAAGGAGACTCTGCTAGCAGGGTACTAGCAATCAAGTTTCTTTCAGCTCTACATGATGGCGCCTTTAAAAGTCCTGAGGTCTTAATCTCTCCTTGTATTTGGTATCTTCTGGGGGAAATTCTGAGTGTCAAGCGGGAACACGTGGAAGAAATAATAGGCGTCGGGGTGCCGAAAAGTATGAGTAACAGCAAGAAGAGACGGAGTATTCTATCCCCACTGATAACGTAACCGTTTTAGTTGGCTACAAATCATAAATATACCATGCCAGCTAGTCGGTGCTTTAACTATATATCATGTGAACGATCCTCGCCAGTGACTTTCATAATACATCTGAAGTCTTCTGTCGAACTAAACCGTCGTTCAAGATCCCGTGTTAAATCAATGTAAGTCGTGTAAAATAGCCGCACCCTCAAAACCTATATCAGGGAGTCAGCAAAGTCCAGAGTATTGTTGGATAAACATTAATAAAATCAGTTGAATTAAATAAGCCTACCCTCTGTTCTCCCCTGTGTGCTGTTAGGGCCTGTACAAAAGACAATAAACGCTGTAAAAAGAAGCAAAGTGAAAGTTTTCATTGTGCAAGTCAAGCTTAATTCTTTGAGTGCTTGCGACCTAGTTCGACTAGCTCATCAGCGTCTTTTGTTATACTGTTTATGGGAAAGAGTTGTTTTGACTGAAACGGCTCTTAACAATGCTCTCTGAATATCATTAGGAGAATAAATATAGGCCCTTTGCAGCTAGTCATTCACGTGGTGCAAAACCGCCACGCTGGAGAGCAAAAGCCGCACTGAGACAGGAGAAACAAAAGACATACATAATTTGAAATGGTAATTTTCTTTGTTTGTCTTGCCCCACTGCGACTTCTGCTCTCCACAGGGGCGGATCCAGGATTTTTTTTAGGAGGGGGTGCACTCGTCTCTTGCTCTACTTTAACACCAATAAACCACATAGTTTTTCTTTTTTTGCAGAATACCAGTTGTATTAGAAAACCGCAGGTCATCTCAGGGGGGGGGGGGGGGGGGCCCCCCCCCCCCCCCCCCCCCCAAAACCCCCCCCCCC